GTTAAAAAAGTGTGGATAGGATGAATGGAATATAAGGTGGATAGAAAGGTGGATAGATTGTCAGGCTCAACAGGTAGTGATCTAGGGCTCAATCCAGTTGGTAGTCGGTGTCAAGCGGAGTGCCCCACCGGTCGGTTCAACATCTTCATTAATTATCTCAATGTTAGGATGGATTGCACCCTCAGCAAGTTCACAGATGACACTAAGCTGGAGGGAGAGGTAGATACGCTGGAGGGTAGGGATAGGGTCCAGAGTGACCTTGACAAATTGGAGGATTGGGCCAAAAGAAATCTGATGAGGTTCAACAAGGACAAGTGCAGAGTCCTGCACTTAGGATGGAAGAATCCCATGTACTGCTACAGGCTGGGGACCGACTGGCTACACAGCAATTCTGCAGAAAAGGACCTGGCAGATGACAGAACAAGGAGAAATGGTCTCAAGTTGCAGTGGGGGAGGTCGGGGTTGGATATAAAGAAAAAGTATTTCAGTAGGAGGTTGGTGAGGCACTGGAATGGGTTACCTATGGAGGTGGTAGAATCTCTATCCATAGAGGTTTTCAAGGCCCAGCTTGACAAAGCCCTGGCTGGGATGATTTAGTTGAGGTTGATTCTGCTTTGAGGACAAGGTTGGACTAGATGACCTCCTGAGGTCTCCTCTAACCCTAATCTCCTATGATTCTTCTATGATTCTACATGCAAATAGTGGAATTATACATGCAAATTACCATAATCAATCTGCTTGCACAATTTTCTGTAGTTTTTTTTCTTGGTTTTGTTTTTTAATTGAATATGTTCTTAAACAGTATGTAAAATTTTGAAAGCATTGTGTGTGTGCAACTATATGTCTTAAAAAAAAAACCCTGGCCCTAATTATGAGTTATGTAGAAATGTGCTTTTCTGAAGTATTGCAAACAGACAAATACTTGCACTGAAGATGACATATGGATGAAACTTCAATAAAAGAAAAGGGTGCAGCTGGCTAAACTGTCATACATGGGAAGTAAATGTTTTTCTCCAGTTTTTTTTTTTAAACTAAGAATTGACTTGGTTATAACACAATTCACATTGAAAATAAAAGCCATTAAATAACGTTAAGGTTATGACACAGACTGACAAAAGGAAGGAAATTCATCGTTAAGGTGGAAGCATAACATATGGCCTCTGAGGCACAATGGGGCTGATTAAGAAAGCTGTTCAGGTGCTGCCCGGTTATGCCTAGCTATTGAAAACCATATGGTACTTTTCTCCGTCACAGGGGAATTTCTGTGCTTTCATCAGTTTGTGGTACACCCTTAATGTTCTTTTGAAACTATCTTGCAGAAGTGTTGTGGAGAGCCAATCTGCTTCCATCTGAAGTACTAAATACACCATGATGCTTTAGGACTCTATCACAGCAATTAGAGCAGTTTATCACAGTGTAAGCCTGTGGTAAATCCAGACACATTTGCATTTAGGCAATTCAATCTCAGTGTAAATCTGCGATGCATTACAGCACTGTGATAGAATCTGTTTTTCTGGAGTTAATCCAATCACAATAAAACTCTATGAGAAACCTCAATACATTGGGTTACTCCACTGAGTTTAATAGAGTTGACCTCTTGAACTGTTAAAACACAATAATAAAAATCTACTACATACTGTCCCATATCTCTTTAAATATGAAGCAGATCTTGGATGCCTATATGAATACACACTGTGGGAGTACCAGATCCTGCTGTAAAGTGTTTTCGGCAGCAGTAGGCGAATTTGCAAATGTTTAGATGTTCCTGCCAGATAAGCACCTAGACATTTTAAATCAATCTTCGGAGATGCTAAATATTTTGAGGTCTCCCCACCAAAGTTCTATGACCCTTCCCTCACACCCTACCTCCATAGACCTAACCCAGATCAGAACATATTGGGAAAACTCCTCGGCCCTCTCTCCTGCTGGCAGAGGTTTTAGGAGGGAAGCTTCAGCATTTTCTCCCTATCAAAGAATCTGGGGATCTCATCCCCATCAACAGGACTGTCCCCTGTTCCCCCACTAAAAACTTGAGATTTCAGGAGGATATTCCATGGCTCCTCATACGAATCATTAAGATTCGTTGGGAAAGGCAGGGGGGAATTACAGTCCTCCTTCCTATCACCCTCTATGGTTTTCCCTGCTCCCAGGGCAGATTTCTTTGATGGAAGTTTAGGATCTCTGTGGCCTATCAAAGACAGGAATTTCCTAAATGAGACACTTCAACTTCCCATCTCCATTAAAAACAACAGGAGTTTCCAGAGAGACGTTACTGTGGCCTTCCCTACCAGTAGCATCAGGACTTTCTGAGACACTGCAATCATTCTTCAGTGATAGTATAGCAGACTGGCATGCTAGGTTCCACATCTCCCAGTGCACAATGTTGTTCACTTTGAGGCTTCACCATTTGTGATGTCCCAGAATGAAATGTGGTTTGGAGACTTCAGAACACAAGAGTTTCTCTCATGTGTTATGCATTCTGGGCTGCCACCGGAGCAGACAACAGCAGGGCCAGGGAATGTTTGCGAGACAGAAAGAAAGAGACCCCAGCCTTAGAATATGGCAACAAAAGCAGAAAACTAATGAAACAGGTCTGAGATATATAATGGTGCATCTTGAACTTTGGGCAAAGTTTCAGGACAGTTTTTATTTAGGCTGAGCTGATTTGCCTATAGTTGATGCTTTCAAAATAACAGCTGATTCAAACAGTATTTTCTTAAGTCAGCCACAAAAAGGCCAAATAAATTTCTATAGTTTTAAAAGGATAAACCATCTCCTGACAGAGAGCCAGATTATTTGCTTGCTAAAGTTACTAATCTTTGAAAACAGAGATGTAAATGGGAGTGCTAACTGTAATATCATTTTGGAATCATTACAAATCAGCTATTCTGTTTTAAACAGGAGATTGGTAATTATCCCCTGGTACCTGATTCATACCACATGTCAGTATCTAGAAGGGATATGGGAGGGCTGCTGCTTTTATTACATGACTATTGTTTTCTCTTTTGGAGCAGTAATAGTAAAATGTGTCTAACTGGAAGGTAAAATGAGAGGCAGTTCAGCAGAGAAGAGTAAAAAGTTAGCGTTCATTAGACCAAAACCTGGAGAGCAGCACAAAGGTTCCCATTGGAAGGTATAAAAAAGAAGGGAAAAAAGAAACATTTCTATTTATACTGGCGCACAATAGAAAGTACCAGTGTGGCATGAGTGTTATGAAGAAACCTCCTGCAAAATAATTGATATAACTGGAACATTGTAGATCATGCAGCAATACAATATGGAGATAAATCTGTTTCATACATATTCTTTGCTACCCAAGCTATGGCTGAATTCCTGTACAGGAAATGAACACAGTACCATAAAAGGCAGAAGCTGAAAACTCCCTGTGAGCAAAAGACAGTCTAGGCACTGGAACCATTAAATTACCCATTTCTAACCTCATTTGCTCTCACCTACTGATGTCTCTTTGTGAAACAAAAAAAGTCTACTCTTTGTTCTGCTAAAGAGATTCTCAGTGACACCTCTTCAGTCTATTTATAGTGGGTGCCCAAGCAAACCTGTCCCCACATTACCACTCTCACTGCAGCCTCACTGATGAGGAAGCTTACTCTGAGCTAGTATGGGGGGTGGGGGGAGTTGGTCACTTCAAGGACTGACCTCCTCTACGCCCCCCATGGGCACCCAGCTTCCTTGTGGGCTTGAGAAGGGGTGCTCCTTGGCTGATTGGCTAGACAGAGGAGTATAGCATAAACCTATTAGCTCCTGTGCACCCAATGGGAGGTCTTACAGGCCTATCGCCCTGCTTGAGATGCCAGCCTGTGTGCCTTGAATGAAAAGGCTCCCTCACTCGGGACTAGAGTAGGACTGGGTTTTGGAACCTTGCTATTTGGCATCATATAATCACCTTTCTGCTCTGGAAAGGAATATTTCCTTCCAGATTGGTCTGGGCAGGGTGTTTTCGTTTTATTTTTTGTTAGTTTGTTTTTTTTCATTTTGTTTTGTTTTGCCACCCTCTCTTCTCAGGCAACAGGGATAGGTTAGCTTGTAAAATTAATGTTGTCACTACTTGGCAGATGCCCATCATAGTTAATTATTCAATAGGGTCTGGTTCCCCTGATAAATCAGAATTGGAAGCAGATTAGGAGAAGGCATCTCCTAAAAAAGATGGGGAACAGGGTCAGGGTTTCTAATGTCCAATACAGCAAGGAGACCACCGCCTTTCCCTATACCCTTAAATCTTGCATGAGGAGAGGGTAGTGGTGACCAGCAATGAGGACTGATATCAGCCCTCCCCCAGATCACACAGATTACAGAAGGAAGGATGACCTACACTGGACAAGTTATTTTCAGAGGATTCCCAGATGTTTTACTTAATAAAGTTGCAGCCTAGTTAAGCCACATTCACGGTATTTTCTTTTTCTTCTTGAGATGTCCAGGGCAATAAAATGAGGTAATTTTGTCATAAATGTTATGTGTATTAAAGCTGTAAGTAGTGAAGTAGCATGTAGTACTTGGTTAAGTTTCTAATCTAAAATATCCAAAATAATGCTTCTCTTCTTCTTGCTTATATCTGTTCCTACATTGTGGCTGAAGGAAATTATGGATGTTTTGCAAACTTCAGAGAAATCAGTTGAAGAGAGATACTCCAATAGGTGTATAGGTATCTACAGTGCATTTCAGAAATATCCTTGATGGACACTGTAAAGGTACGGTGCTCTATTGTTTCACTCTTCAGTCAGGAAAGATGAAGGAGAAGGAAAGAAGGAACTTATCTGAAGTGGTCACAGGAAATATCTAATATCATCTAACAAAAAGAAAGAAAGAAAGAAAGAAAGAAAGAAAGAAAGAAAGAAAGACTACCATTGTTTGAATCCATGCTGCTTGGCTGCAGCATGGAAAATCCTGGGATCAATAAGTGAAAAGAATGAAAAAGCACAAATGTTGATGTATCTACTGGGTATATGGTATTGGCTGAAATGTCTCCTAAATAGCTGACTGACCTGAGACATATGTGCATCATGGCTGGAACCCAGGTACTTGGCAGCAATGTCTGTGATGAAGTCAGCATCACAAATGGATGATATGTTCATGCTCAGGGGCTGTTTCCTATTTCTATAGACCTGTGGGAAAAAGCTATAATGATTAGGTGCATGAGGTCAGAGCTATAGGGAACTTAGCTAAGAAGCAAGGGTTTTCCTTAATTTTCTGTTGCTGAGTGAATGAAAATCTACAGTATGCAATGTATGGTTCAGAATAAAGAATCATAACATTGTCTAACTACAGTATTAACATGGCATGCTCACCTGTGAAATGACCCACTGATTGATTACTTTGAGAGGCTGAAGGGACTAGCATGACTTTGCCTTGTGATATTTTCCTGCTTCTCAGGTAACAATCACAAAACTCAATGATGACACTACCAAACAAAGGAAAACACCAAATACAACACTATCTACCAGTCACAATCTGAAAACATCCTTCTCATCTCTTCGCTCAGCATTACTAGAGAAGGTGTTTGACAACATGCTCATATGACACACGACACAGATAGTTACTACTTAGGTTATCTGAGCATCCTTCCCTCATTTACTTGCTATTGAGCCTATAGTACCTACAAGTGCTGTGACAAAATCAGAGAGCAGTCAGTGTACAATGTGTGTTCACATTATTGAAATTAGTCAGTGAAGATGTCCGTAGATACTGTATGCTGTATCACATATACATCTACAGATGTCCGTAGATACTGTATCACAAATGGTGATTTTCCTCATTTGTAAGATAGAAAATAAAATGACATTTACAGAGTTTTTCATATAGCAAAACTTATTTCTAGAGCCTATAACTAAGCATTCATCTGCTACAATGTATTTATAAAAACAAAGATAAAAGTATTTTTATTAATTTTGGGGTTTGTTTTAATCACAATTATGATTTCCAGATAACCTCTCAGAAAACATGGAACCTTCTGAACAAATAACTACTTACTACAAATGTACACATATCTGAACAGGTTTGAAGCGATGCATCTGCTCTTTGATGTCTTTTGTGATAATGAAGGTGGCAGCTTTTATGGAAGAGGGAAAACAGAAAGTGTGTTGGCTGCATATAACATGAGCCAAGCAAACATGCATCTAAATACTAAACAGCCATCAATTAAGTAATAGTACGGCAACATTTACACTATTCTTACCCTATCTTGCACAGCTGCTGATACAAGATAGACTTGGCTTGAAGACTTTCAATATGAGGTTAGAATAAAACAGTGAAATGAAAATACCACCAAGCCGCAGCCCCCAACAGAAGAGTAAAATGAATGTTCTCCCACCTGTTGTTTTAACTGATGTACTAATCTGTCTTTCTCTCGTTTAAGAGCCATTACTTCCTCTTGAGTCTTCTTCTTCTTTGAAGCAGACAGTTCAAGCAAGGCTATGTTTGCATCTTTTTCACTGATTGCAGCAAGCAGTGCTTCCTGCCTGATAAAATAAAATTAAAAAATGCTATTGTTTCTCATTTAAATAAATCAGAAAACACATCGGAATATTTCTTGTAAGTGATAATTGAAAAATCATTTATACTTTGAGTAGTCATCCAGTTGCAAACTGTGGCAGGTGTCATGAAATCATGAAAAGACTATGTGCCAACAAATTAACAGAATGGGCTCTCTCTTCATCCAAATATTTCACATGACATTTAGCTGAATACATGTAGTACATTATACAATGCAATTTTTAGAAACGTTCTTTGAATTCTGTCATGTTAGAAACAGTCTTGGGCATATAGTTTTAAAACACACTTTGCTTAATCCAAGTAAACTTGTCACTAAAAATTCATATTAGAAATATCTAACAAGAAAGACTTAAATGCAACAAATTAAATATATTTTTCCAATCAGTTCTTTGTCTCTGCCTCCTGGAGATTTCACCACACAAATGACAGGTCTCTGGACCTCCCTCTCATTTACTCAACATTTTCCTATTATTTATAAGCATCAAGCAGGATCTGTTTTTAAATTATCAGTGAGTACCATAATGCAAGAGTAATTTCTGGCAAAAAGTGAAAATGATGAAACATGGACTTCAGGGTTACTCCCTCTCCTTCTCTCACTCCTCCTTCCTCTTAATCCATGCTTTGGAGTCATTTGCATGTGCCAGCCATGGCATTAATTAAAATAATCCTGCAATGGAGATGCAGGGAGTCATGAAGGGATGTGGAAGGATCTTACTCCCCCTTACATTCCCAAGCATCCTTGAAGTCAAGACAATCTTTCCCTTAGTTTCTTAAATAATAAGAAGAATGTATTAGATTTGTGTAATGTGTGCAATGAGAGAAACAAAATATTCCAGCTCAGAAAAAACACATAGTATATAAAAGCTTTCTGAATAGAATACATTATGGCTTAGGTCTTCCTCCAGAAATACGTAAGATCAATCATGAGAAAAAATAAACACAGATAAATGAGTCATACATTAACCCTAAACTCCACCTGTTAATAGCTGTAAGAATATGGCTCATGAACTTCATACAGTCAAGGTAAGCTAACAGGCTGGAATTTTTATGGCCTCCAAGCTTACCAGCAAAAATGTCAAGAGAGCTATATCACTTTTATTTCAAAGTTTCTAATGTATTAATGTAAATATTTAGAGGACAATATTTCTGGTGGAGCCAAAGAAAAACAACCCATATATTCTGCTCTCAAAGATATGAGATATGGATTAATTTTAGATAAACAATTGCATTTTATACATAGACTTAAAATTCTCATTTATTATTCTGCCTGTTCATTATAATCAAAGTTTCTTTGTTTTTAATTCTATTTTTTACAAATCATGCATAGAAGGATGCCATATTTCTCCAACAGTCTTTGTTTAAGTACAAAGTGACATTAGAAAGCTTAGTTTTATAATTATTATTAATCACAAAATATGTGATTACATGAAACTAGCTAAGCTTAATGATTTGATTCTTCAGTTGATAACAGACATTTTTATTACCATACATAACTAAAATTACAAGCAAAAATTCGCCATAATGTCCAATGGTTTTTGTTAACTAAAAGAATATTTCTGAAATAGTCAGTTTTTTTCATTAGCTTCCATTGAGCAACCAATTTTTGTCAGTATCTTGAACAAACCTTTAAGACGGCTTTTGCTGTATTAGTCTTGCTTTCAGGACAGCTAGAATAAAAATGTGCACTGCTTTACTACATTAATGCTAATGGGCTCAAAGCCATTTTATTATTTGTTGCTATTAAAGTAGATACATCAGATGAATATCAAGTTATACCATACCTAGAACTTCTAATAGGAAGTAGAATATATAATCACTGTTTGGATGTGCAGTTGCAAAAGTTCACAGAATGGTCAGAATAAAAACCTAACAAACGCAGGCTGAGTACGGACTAGATGGCCATATGGCTGATTTTCCAGTGGTTCTTAAATCTGGTTAAGTTAGAAGTTAAGATATGTAGATACAGTTGCATATTCTCTAGTAGGTTTCACTTTATATATTTGCCAGCTGGTGGATTTCAAATTTTCAGTTGCTACATTGTCATATTTTACTAAGTGTAATACAGAGTTTACCCAGCTGTAAAAGAAGAGGACTCTCTCAAAGAATCATGTGGAGAATGAAAATGTTAGGTCAACATCAAGGGATAATTTTTTTGTCAACTGCTAAGGAAACTAAATAAGCTGCTGTAGTGAATCTTTATATTTCCTCCAGAATTAAACTGGCAGTGAGGCCCCAAATCTGAATAGAGAGCAAGGGCAGTCACAGGTATTGGTAAATCTGGTAGCATTCAGACAACTGACACTTAGATTTACTCATATTTGTCTTTATTTTTCTACCTGCCAAAAATGCCATATGTACTTGAGACCATAGAAGTGTGTGGATTTGTAACACTATACAACCCCACTTTTAAGAAGCAGATGGGTACACAAAAAATCTTCTGAATATCAAGGGAGCAATCCAAAAAATGTTGCCAAGTCTGCACTCTGGGTCCTCCAACTCAGTGGACACCCAGACATGCAGACCTACAGCAGTGTTTCATAACCAATGGCTTATGTCCCCCACATACACACAGGGGTATGAAAGGCAATCTAAGGGGGTTGCAAGGCACTGACAATTTTTTACAATCTAAAAACCCCAAAAATCTTGATCCCCAACTCCCTGCATACCCTTGCTCTCAATATCAATTATTTTCTGTCAACCTCTCAAAACATGCACAAAAAATACAGGGTTAACATTAAAAGAAAAGGAGTACTTGTGGCATCTTAGAGACTAACAAATTTATTTGAGCATAAGCTTTCGTGAGCTACAGCTCACTTCATCGGAAGCATGCAGTGGAAAATACAGTGGGGAGATTTTATATACATAAAGAACATGAAACAATGGGTGTTACCATACACACTGTAACAAGGGGGGGGGGGAAACATTTTGTAGTGATAATCAAGGTGGGCCATTTCCAGCAGTTGACAAGAATGTGTGAGGAACAGTGGGCGGGGGAGGGGAATAAACATGGGGAAAAAGTTTTACCACCATCAACCTCAGCCTGGACCAGTCCACACAAGAGATACACTTCCTGGACACTACCGTGCTAATAAGCGATGGTCACATAAACTCCACCCTATACCGGAAACCTACTGACCGCTATGCTTACCTACATGCCTCCAGATTTCATCCAGACCACACCACACGATCCATTGTCTACAGCCAAGCTCTACGATACAACCGCATTTGCTCCAACCCCTCAGATAGAGACAAACACCTACATGATCTCTATCAAGCATTCTTTCAACTACAATACCCACATGCTGAAGTGAAGAAACAGATTGACAGAGCCAGAAGAGTACCCAGCAGTCACCTACTACAGGACAGGCCCAACAAAGAAAATAACAGAATGCCACTAGCCATCACCTTCAGCCCCCAACTAAAACCTCTCCAATGCATCATCAAGGATCTACAACCTATCCTGAAGGACGACCCATCACTCTCACACATCTTGGGAGACAGGCCAGTCCTTGCTTACAGACAGCCCCCCAACCTGAAGCAAATACTCACCAGCAATCACACACCACACAACAAAAACACTAACCCAGGAACCTATCCTTGCAACAAAGCCTGTTGCCAGCTGTGTCCACATATCTATTCAGGGGACACCATCATAGGGCCTAATCACATCAGCCACACTATCAGAGGCTCGTTCACCTGCACATCTACCAATGTGATATATGCCATCATGTGCCAGCAATGCCCCTCTGCCATGTACATTGGCCAAACTGGACAGTCTCTATGTAAAAGAATAAATGGACACAAATCAGACGTCAAGAATTATAACATTCAAAAACCAGTCAGAGAACACTTCAATCTCTTTGGTCACTCGATTACAGACCTAAAAGTGGCAATTCTTCAACAAAAAAACTTCAAAAACAGACTCCAATGAGAGACTGCTGAATTGGAATTAATTTGCAAACTGGATACAATTAACTTAGGCTTGAATAAAGACTGGGAGTGGATGAGTCATTACACACAGTAAAACTATTTCCCCATGTTTATTCCCCCCCCACCTATTGTTCCACACACATTCTTGTCAACTGCTGGAAATGGCCCACCTTGATTATCACTACAAAAGGTTCCCCTCCGCCCCTCACTCTCCTGCTGGTTATAGCTCATCTTAAGTGATCACTCTCCTTACAGTGTGTATGGTAACACCCATTGTTTCATGTTCTCTGTGTATATAAAATCTCCCCACTGTATTTTCCACTGCATGTATCCGATGAAGTAAGCTATAGCTTACGAAAGCTTATGCTCAAATAAATTTGTTAGTCTCTAAGGTACCACAAGTACTCCTTTTCTTTTTGCAGATACAGACTAACATCGCTGCTACTCTGAAACCAGGGTTAACATTGTTCTCATTGTTACTGTTATTTTTATACTAAATGTTAGAAGATCATGAACATTTTTGACTTTGATTAAGAGGTCATCAACCTGAAAAGGCTGAAAGAGCATAAACTCTGCTGATGCCTTTTCATTGGGACTAAGAGACATAGATCATGCATGACTTGAATAGTGACACAGTAACAATCCCAAAGTAGACAATCCAACTGTATTTGACCAGGAGTTTTGGTTAACCAGAGTTCAGTTAATCAGATTGAACTATATATTCTACCAAAGATAACATTTGATTACTCTCTCTTGTCTGCTTAAATTATCAAACAAGTGGTAGCTCAAAACAATATGCATTATCATGACATATACCACTATAATCATTGAGGTTAAAAAAAACAAGAGCCAGACTATGACAGACCTTTATACAGGCGTATATAGGGACACTAGAAGCCCTCCCCATCTTTTTGTGACCCATGCCATGTGGTCCTAATGCCACTGCAGTCCCTGCACTCAGACTCCATTAAATTCCAGGAAGACATAGCTTAATAAAATAGGATATTGGAGGTTTTACTAATTTATTTTAGGTGAA